TGTGCGTATGTGGAATTCGTCGATGTTGCCGCCACCACATCATTTTGGACAAACTTCTTGGCACTGTATCTCGGTAAGTCCTGATCAGAAATTTTTTTTTGTCTTATTACCTTCACAAAAATATGCTCTTTAATTCTGTAAGAAAAAATAATTTTTTTTTTTTTTTCAAAATTTCTTGGACACTGGAGCACCACTTCAGATTTTGGCCTTGGACCCTGAAGGGGTTAACAAATCCACAGGATCCTCTACCTTCCCTACAGTTCTCAAAATAGCAAGGGTCACCCCGATCCATAAAGGAGGAGACCAAACAGACTTGAATAACTATAGGCCAATATCCAACTTACAACCCTCTCTCTAAATCTTTTAAAAATTAATTCATAACCCGAATCAGATTCTACCTCATCTCCCATAACATTCTCAACCCCTGTCAATTTTGGGTTTCAGGCCTAAAAAATACTAATGATGCTAAATTTTAACACAGCTAGAACACACATAAAAAACTGCAATAGAGAAAAAAGAAGTCCCACTGGGGATCTTCATTGACTTACATAAAGCTTTTGATACAGTTGACCATGACTTGCTCCATATAAAATTGTCACACATGGTATAAGAGGGCACTCCCTCAACTACCTAAAGTCTTACCTCAGCAACAGAAGCCAATATGTGTACACAAACGGGGCAAACTCTTCCGCACACCCAAATTACAGCGGGTGTCCCACAGGGAAGTGTCCTAGGCCTTCTTCTCTTTCTCATATACAAAATACCTACAAATGCATCGCAACTACTCAAGAAAAACACTATTTGCAGATGATACTACATACATTTTCTCTAAACCCCGAGCCCAGTCACGCTACCAATACTGTAAATACCGAATTACAGAAAATATCTACCGGGATGAGTACTAACAAACATACTCTAAACATTGACAAAACCTACTTCATTCAATTTGGCAACAGAGCTACAGACGTCCCTCTCAACATAATGATAAATGGATCACCTATCACAAAACTCACAGGGGGAAAATTCTTAGAAATCCACCTTGATAATACAGTGGACCCCCACATACCGTAAACCCTCGCATACCATACAATCCGCATACCGCTTCGCTTTTATCGCAAAAATTTTTCTCTCCATACCGCCCCAAAAACCCCTCACTGCTCTTCGTCCGAGACGCGTCCAATGTGCGCCCTCCGCCAGCCTCACATGTTCCGCCGGTGGCATTTTTTACCAGCCAGCCTCCGCGTAACATCCAAGCATACAATCGGAATGTTTCGTATTTTTACAGTGTTTTCGGTGCTTTATCTGGAAAATAAGTGACCATGGGCCCCAAGAAAGCGTCTAGTGCCAACGCCACACACTAAGGGTGAAATTCCAATAGATATGAAGAAAGATATTATGAAAGTATGAAAGTGGAGTGAGTGTCTCCGACCTGGTCAGTTGTACAAAAACCCAAATCAACCATCGCTACTATTGTGGGCAACAGAAAGCAATCAAGGAAGCTGTCTGCCAAAGGCTAACTGTGTTTTCGAAACAGAGATCGCAAGTGATGGAAGAGATGTTTGAAGAGAAAGCTCTTATTGGTGTGGATAAATAAAAACAGCTAGCAGGAATAGCGTCTCTCAAGCGATCATAAGCGGAAAAGGCTGAGGAAGTTCCCCCCACCATGAGGATTTTAATTAAAAAAATGCCTGCAACTATGATGAGGTGAGTGAATTTAAGGCCAACAAAGGTTGGTTTGAGAATTTAAGAAGCGTAGTGGCATACATAGATGGGTGATAAGGCATGTGAGGCTTGCCAGTTTTTGGACCACAAAGCAGCTGAAAAATATGTCAGGAATTCAAGAGTACATAGAAACTGAAGAGAACTGAAACCTGAACAGTGTTTTAATTGTGAGAAACAGGCCTGTTTTTGGAAAGAAAATGCAGCAGGACCTACATTACACAGGAGGAAAAGGCACTCCCAGGACATAAGCCTATAAAGAACAGGCTACTTTATGTGATGTTTTTCCAAAGCTACTGGTGGATTGCAAAGGAACCTTTTATTAGTGGTATCATCTGAAAACTCGCCAGACCGTCAGTGCAAAAAGAATGTCTCCTCAAGGAGAATTTATGTGTGCTGTGGAGGGCAATCAAGTGAAGCATGGGGTCACTAGGACTATTCTTATGACTGTTACACTGCTTATGCCCCCAATGTGAAAGATTTACCTAACTGAAAAGAAATAGAACTTAAGTGCCTCCTGGTGTTTAAAGACAATGCCCCTGGTCATCCTACAGACATGGCAGAGTTACTTTATGGGGACATGAAATTCATAAGGTGAAGTTTTTTTTTTTGCCTCTAATACCACTCCTCTCCCTGCAAACATGGACCAGCAGTTATTGCAAACTTCAAAAACTGTTACACAAAAGCCTCTGTTTGAAAGGTGCTTTGTATGACCTACAGATACTCAACTGACTCTAATGTATTCGTGGGGGTTTAATCACTTTAAATATCCCTCATTTGTTGTAAACCTTTATAGTAAGGCTTTGGGTGGAGTGACTAAGAAGACCTTTGAACTCTGCTTGGAAGAAACATGGTGCCTAGATGTGTAACTAAAGGGATTTTGAAGGGTTTGAGGCTAACCCTGAGAGATTATGAGCAGTTGAGGAATCCATTGTGGCATTAGGGAAAGTCCTTATGGGGTCAGGAGGTTGTGGTGGATTGAAGTGGAAAGAGTTGAGGTGGAGGAGACAATGAAGAACGAACACACTTATGAGCTGATAGATCATACTCAACAGCAAGAGAGCCTAGACCAGAAGGAAACTGGTTCAGAGGAAGGGGAGAGCAGAACATTGAGAAGAAGTTGCCCTACTACAAAGATTAAGGAAATCAGTGCAAGTAGGCTTGAAGTGCAAACCTTCAAGATGACAACACCCTCACACAGCTATTGCACAAGCCGTGCTGGTGATTATTACAACTGCAATGTTTGAAACACTTAGGGAAGTCATAAAGTGAACGAGAGGACAGGCCACGTATGGACAGATATGTTTGCGAAAGAATCCATTGACTCTGAATGCTGGTCCTAGTGCATTAAAAGAAGAAGGGAAGTAACCCCAGAAAAGGACTCGACACCTCAAGCCCTTAATGGAAGGGGATTCCCCTTCTAAACACTAACACTCTCTCTCCCCTCCTCCCATCCCATCAATCATCACCAGATCTTCAATAAAAGTAAGTGTCATGTAATTGTGCATGCCTTTTTCAGTTTGTGTGTATTAAAATTAACATTTCATGTGGTAAAAATTTTTTTTTTTCACACTTTTGGGTGTCTTGCACGGATTAATTTGATTTCCATTATTTCTTATGGGGAAAATTCATTCGCATACCGAACATTTCGCATAACAACCAGCCCTCTTGCACGGATTAAAGTCGCTATGCGGGGGGGGTCCACTGTAGACTCAAATTTCAAACACATATACAACAAATTTCCAAAAAAAATTCCAAGACCGTAGGCATACTATCGAAGATACGGTACTATGTTCCACAGTCAGCCCTCCTGGCCCTATATCACTCGCTTATTTACCCCTATTATCGTAGGGGTTCTTAAATGGAGATATCGAGGGTTGAAGGTAGACACACATGTTGGGATGGTAACGATATATTGTCAGACTGTGATGATGGGAGATGGAGCCCAGCCTTAGCCTGTCCTAGCCTATGTCTAACGCCGACTGAGAAGGTGGCAGAGGTACGAACGTACACATGCGCATCCGTGACATCACACAAACAGTCACAGGCCTAGGGATCTCCTATCTAAAGCACATGGATGATACTGATATGCTATACAACACAGGGATCAGCAACTATGCTGACACTATCACACTTATGGAATTTGTGCATGGGGCTCAACAACATTAAACCATCTCAGACCATTAATTACCCAACAAAAGGCTGTAGTCAGAATAACAAATTCCCACTACAGGCAGCACACTCCACCAATATTCAAAACTCTAAACCTACTCACCATACAAAACATCCATAACTTATTATTGTGCCTACTACATTCATAGAACACTTAACTCTGATATTAACCCTCCCCTCAAACGTTTCCTTACCAACCTCAACAGAACACACAACCATAACACAAGGCACAGATCACTCTTTGATGTTCCTCGTGTCCATCTCACGCTACGCATAAAGTCAATGCACATAAAAGGCCCTAAAATCCTGGAATTCACTACCTGTGAATATAAAAGAAACACTGTCTGTTTATTAAATTCAAGTTTCTTCTCAAAAATCACTTACTCACCCACAACTAAATAAATACTGAATAATTGTATCTCATAAATTGTATCTCATAAATGTTTCTCATTATTGTATCTCATAAATGTCTAACCTGTGACCCAATCAAACTTTTTTTCTTTTTTAAATACATTACCTAACAGAAAACTCCAATCCATTGAATGCACAGCAACTCAGTAAATGACCATATGACCTGTCTTTGTAATACTCATTTGTGCTAAATTGTTATCTGTTTACAATAATGTTTTTACCACTGAATATATCATTGCTTAGTTAATCTTAATAGTTAATCTTAAGTTAATTTTAAGCCTGCCCATAATGCTCTGCATACGAGGGGCTTTGGCATGTTGCACTGTAATAACTGTATTCCTTTGTACTTCACTGTATCATGTTCAAATTAATTAATAAATAAACAAATAAATAAATAAATAAATAAACCCTGAAAGGGTTAGGAGGACAACATCTGCTTAATTGAAGCATTCAACCTAACAGAATTTTTGGTAAATGACACATGCCCTTCTCTTATCAGTCCATTTTATCAAACCTTTACTGTAAGAGTATAACAATGAGGGAATTATTTCTAGCTTTCAACAGTACAATCTTTATACCATTAACAGCCAAACAGGATGAAATAATAAAACAGATATCACAGGATATCAATCCTTGATGCATAAAATATACTTTACAAAAAGAATGCACAAATCTGCAAAATAATTTAATTGATTTACCTGAAAAAGCTGGCGAAACTGAGCTAGTCGACTCACTAGTGGATGATTACCCAGAGACCGCTGACTGCACTTTGTAAGCATGTAAATACACAGCACGCACAAATAGCTGAAAAACATTAAAAATGCTCACAATTACACAATAAGGAAAAATGACAAGTGAAGTAAATGGAAGCAAATTACAGATTTCCTATGTTTTGTGCATTTTCACTTAAATGGGAATTTACCTTCATATGGTGTTGCTATTTCTACCAGCAATTCACTATTTCACTTTAACACACTGACCATCTCATGGCAAAGCAGGGTCACATCCCGCCATCTCCCCCCCCCCAAAAAAAAAAAAAAATTATGTATCAACTGCTGTCTGGTTTTCTATAAAGTGTTCAGAGTTTTTTCCTGTGTTTCTCTTACAGTTTGGTTAGCCCATTTTCCTTCCAACAGTTGCTTATATCTTACTCTAACTGCCGCCTCCTTCAGTTTATAAACCTTTATCTCTCTCTCTTACTTGCTGATTCCATTCTCTTTGTATCTCATCTACCTTTTACCCTTGAATGTAGTGTGAATGAGATGTCAAATACAGTAGAGCCCCTCTTTAACCCTTCAACGGTCCAAATAGATCGACGTTCAAATCTGTAGTGCTACAAAAGTAGATCTTTTTTTTTTTTACATATTTTCAAATATAACAAAAAAAAAATGTAGATAAAAGTTTTTTTACACATTTTCAAATGTAAAAAAAAAAGATGATGTACATTTTTTTACATACTTTCAAATGTTGAAAAAACGTATATATACGTTTGGACCGTTTAAGGGTTAAGGCACTTTGCCTTATGGCATTCTGACCAAAACTCACTATATGGCTCCCCCCACCTGACTTTTTAATAAGGTCACCGCGCTCCACCTGGTTTGTTTACATTCTCCATGAGCTCCATGTCTCTCCATTATGTCTGGAAACTTTCTAAAATTTCAAGTGTTTTACAGTTATTTCATATTTTATATATACTATGATAATTATACAGTGGACCCCCGCATAACGTTGGCATCGTATAGTGTTAAATCCGCATAGCGATACATTTTATCGCTAAAATTTTGCCTCGCATAGTGCTAAAAATTTCGCTCAACGCGATTCGTCCGAGACATGTCCATGCGGCCTGAGCCAGCCTCATTGACATTGTTTACAAGCCAGCCTCCGCGGTAACATTCAAGCATACAATCGGAACATTTCGTATTATTACAGCCTTTTTATAGTGATTTCACCTGAAAAATAAGTGACCATGGGCCCCAAGAAAGCTACTAGCGCCAACCCTACAGGAATAAGGGCAAGAATTACTATGGAGATGAAGAAAGAGATCATTGCTAAGTATGAAAGTGGAGTGCATGTCTCCGAGCTGGCCAGATTGTATAGTAAACTCCAATCAACCATCGCTTCTATTGTGTCCAAGAGAAGGGCAATCAAGGAAGCTGTTCTTGCCAAAGGTTTAACTGTGCTTTCGAAACAGAGATCGCAAGTGATAGAAGATGTTGAGAGATTGTTATTGGTGTGGATAAACGAAAAACAGATAGCAGGCGATAGCATCTCTCAAGAGATCATAAGTGAAAAGGCTAGGAAGTTGCACGAGGATTTAATTAGAAAAATGCCTGCAACTAGTGGTGATGCAAGTGAATTTAAGGCCAGCAAAGGTTGGTTTGAGAGATTTAAGAGGCTTAGTGGCATACATAGTGTGATAAGGCATGGTGAGGCTGCCAGTTCGGACCAAAAAACAGCTGAAAAATATGTGCATAAATTCAAGGAGTGCATAGACAGTGAAGGACTGAAACCTGAACAAGTGTTTGTGATGAAACAGGCCTGTTTTGGAAGAAAATGCCAAGCAGGACCTACATTACTCAGAAGGAAAAGGCACTCCCAGGACATAAGCCTATGAAAGACAGGCTTACTCTTCTCATGTGTGCCAATACTAGTGGTGATTGCAAAGTGAAGCCTTTATTAGTGTATCACTCTGAAACTCCCAGAGCTTTCAGGCAAAAGAATATCCTCAAGGAGAATTTGTGTGCTGTGGAGGGCAAACAATAAGGCATGGATCACTAAGGACTTTTTCTATGACTGGTTACACTAAGCATTTGCCCCCACTGTGAAAAATTACCTAAGTGAAAAAATAATTAGATCTTAAGTGCCTCCTGGTGTTAGACAATGCCCCTGGTCATCCTACAGACTTGGCAGAGCGACTTTGTGGGGACATGAGCTTCATTAAGGTGAAGTTTTTGCCTCCTAATACCACTCCTCTCCTGCAGCCCATGGACCAGCAGATTATTGCAAACTTCAAAAAACTGTACACAAAAGCTCTGTTTGAAAGGTGCTTTGTAGTGACCTCAGAAACTCAATTGACTAAGAGAGTTTTGGAGAGAGCACTTTAATATCCTCAATTGTGTAAACCTTACAGGTAAGGCTTGGGAGGGAGTGACCAAGAGGACCTTGAACTCTGCTTGGAAGAAACTGTGGCCAGAATGTGTAGACGAAAGGGATTCTGAAGGATTTGAGGCTAACCCTGAGAATCCTATGCCAGTTGAGGAATCAATTGTGGCATTGGGGAAGTCGTTGGGGTTGGAGGTTAGTGGGGAGGATGTGGAAGAGTTGGTGGAGGAGGACAATGAAGAACTAACCACTGATGAGCTGCTAGATCAACTTCAACAGCACGAGGCCACACCTGAGGAATCTGCTTCGGAGGAGGGGAGAGAGAAATTGAAGAAGTTGCCTACTTCAAAGAGTAAGGAAATCTGTGCAAAGTGGCTTGAAGTGCAAACCTTTATGGATGAAAATCACCCTCAGACAGCTATTGCAAGCCATGCTGGTGACTATTACACTGACACTGTTGTGAAACACTTTAGGAAAGTCATAAAGGAACGAGAGGTACAGGCCACTATGGACAGATATGTTGTGCGACAGAAGTCCAGTGACTCTGAAGCTGGTCCTAGTGGCATTAAAAGAAGAAGGGAAGCAACCCCGGAAAAGGACTTGACACCTCAAGTCCTAATGGAAGGGGATTCTCCTTCTAAACACTAAAACCATCCAGTCTCCCCTCCTCCCATCCCATCAATCATCACCACATCTTCAATAAAGGTAAGTGTCATGTAACTGTGCATGTTTTCTTAAGTTTGTGTGTATTAAAATTAATATTTCATGTGGTAAAATTTTTTTTTTCATACTTTTGGGTGTCTTGCACGGATTAATTTGATTTCCATTATTTCTTAAGGGGAAAATTAATTCGCATAACGATAATTTCGCATAACATTGAGCTGTCAGGAACGGATTAATAGCATTATGCGGGGGTCCACTGTACTTATGTGTACCTGTACCTAAGTAAACTTGTACACTGTGCTGGAGTGCAGGTACACATTAAAATCACTAAGAGTGTCTTAGTCTTGAAGACCATAATAATACGTAATGACAATAATAATAATAAAACAAAATAATAATCACTCTTAGGCACATTAAATGTCATATACAGTGGAACCCAAGATTTCGTGTGCACCACATATCATACAATTCGGATTTCGACCACTTTTTTTTTATGAAATTTTCTCCAGATTTCGTATCTTGTCCCGGAAATCATCCATATCAGATACGTCCGCCCACCCAGGACACCGCCACTTATGTGTACATGTCTCAGTCTGGCTCTGCCACTGGTTGAGTAAGCATTCATCCGAAACATTTCGTAATAATCCATCGATTTTTGTGCTTGTTTATTGGGTGTGACTGCGAAATAAGCCACCATGGGCCCAAAGAAAGTTCATAGTGCCAGCCCTTTAGTAAAGAAGGTGAGAAATAAAAGAGAATTCGAGAAAGAGATTAAGGACATTTGTGTAAAGTGGAATGAGGTGCAAACTTTTGTGGAAAAATATCACCCTGACCAAGCTGATACAAGCTGTATCTGCAACATGTTCAGTGACAATAACTCGTCCCATTTTAGGAAAATCTTAAAGAGACGCCAGAAATAGAGCTCTCTGGACAGATTTTTAGTGCGACAGCAGTCCAGTGCCAGTAAAAGACAAAGAAGGGAAGTAACCCCAGATAGGGCTTTGATACCTGAAGTCCTTATGGAGGTGGATTCCCCTTCCAAACAATAACTTCTCCTCCCTCTCCCCTCCTTGCCATCCATACCTCAACAAAAGTCATCAATAAAGGTTCATTTATCCATTTTATTAGACATTTATATTTCTTTCCCTTGTTTTCTATATGCAAAACTATAGGTATTCTTTAAAAAATATATTTTTTGTTAATATTTTTGGGTGTCTGGAATGGATTAATTGTATTTACATTATTTCTTATGGGAAATAGTGCTTCGGTTTTTGTTCGTTTCGGATTTAGACTGACCTTCTGGAATGGATTAAGGACAAAACCCGGGGTTCCACTGTATTACATTAATACAGTGGAACGTTGGCTTATGAATGCCCAACTATGCAAATTTTTCAGGCTACGAACAGTCAGTTGATCGATTTTTTGCTTCTGGATACGAATAAAATTTCAGGATTGAAATAAATGGAAATAAGTGGAAACATAAACACTTAAGCAGTAAAATGTGATCCTTTATTGACAACGTTTCACCCACACAGTGGGCTTTATCAAGTCACAAACAGACCTACCTGGGTGTAACATACGTGACTATATATAGGATGGGAATGCTAGGTCAGGTGGAGAAAGCTGCACGTGACAATCTTCAGAGTAGAGTGAAGAAGTCTAAAAACTTGGGTAGCTTTTAAAAGAGATTGGATAAGTACATGAGTGGATCTTCTGCAGTGTTCCTCGATTCTTATGTTCTTATGTGGGATAGTGATGAAGAAGTTTCTTGGTGAGGGGTTCAGCTATGTTATAGAAGCCGTTGTTCTGGTTGAAGTTGTTGGATGTACAGATAAGTGATGATTCCAGGATTCTTCGGTATTGAGTGTTGTCTTCTCTGGCAGTAAGTCTTGCGTTTCTGTAGTTGATTAAATGGGTGTGTGAATTTTGATGTTGAACACAGGCATTCCTTGGATTGTCAGATTTGCCTGTGTACTGGTGTTCTGAAATACGTGTTTGGAGGTCTCTGGATGTTTCGCCAATGTATAATTTGCTGCAGT